TATTATATTAAAATGTATTAAGCTCTTAATTTTAGTCAAAAATTTCTCGGAACCTGATTTTCCTAGAAACACTCCCAAATGCAATATACATTTATCTTTGGAATTATTAAAAGTTCCAAAAGAAATGTTGATTGTAAATTTTAAAAGTTAGCGCGCAAGTTGTTCTTGAAATCTTGAAAATATTTTATGGATCGGTTCTCATTTGCTGTTACATTCAATAGAACAACTTTTAATTTAGATTTACTGTACCTCTAAATAGAATAATTCATTATACTGAATTATTTACAACTCATGATCAGTCAATTATCAAATTCGTTTCAAATAGTAAGATTTACAATTAGAAATAATATAGGATATGTTTTAATTTCAATCTTATGCTAATAATAAATCATTTTTAATGTATACTGTTCTGCTAAACTGAATATATAAAATAAGAAAATGAATATCGAGTTAAAAAATAGAGCAAAGGAATAATATAAAATAAAATACAAAAGAAAAAAATTTACAAAATAATCTCTTTACTCAGTACATCAATATAATCCCGTTTTTAACCAACCTTTGTATAAAATCTAAGTTTATGTCAAAAATAGATAATTTTTTTTAAAAAAAGAAAAATTAAAAAAATCAAAAATATCATACAAGGTTTAAAAATAAAATAAATCGAAACTAAAATCTTTGATAATGTAATTAATATATTGAAATGATCCTTTCTTACAAAATATTTTACCAAAGCAATGAATCAAAAGCTCAATAAGGACTTACTCGATTTTTGGTGATTAACTTAAAAATACACACCTCAAGCTCGAGAAGCCACAGCATTGATTCTGATTTGTGACTGTTGTTGAGGCTGTGGTATAGCGCTCATGATTGCGCCATATAATTCATCGGCTGCACCGGGACTTGCAACCTATAGTTATATGAAAAGTTAGTCGGAAATTTAATATAAGTTTATGAATAAATTTATAGCGAACCTTGATTGCAAGTTTAACGGGAATATGATCATTTCCTTCAAATGCAACAACTCGCACAAAACTTTCTTGTGCTCGTTCTACACTCATTCCATGAAATAACGCGATATTCAAAATAACTCTTAGTACACCATCAGTACGCATTACTAGACCATAAATATAATTAGTAAATAGACTTATAAGAGAAAAATAGTAGTAAAATTGTAAATTCAAAAATCGAATAATCGAACCTATCCGCGGCGATTTTTTATTATCTCTAGGAAAATTAAGTTTCAATGTTCCAACTCCACGTTCTCTCCATTGAAGCGACTTATCCATACAATATAATTTAGCTCTAATGGTATATCTAGTTACTTCATCCTCCTCGCCAGTGATTACTGATAAAATAACTGTGTTAATGTAATGAATAATTTAATATAAATAACATTTTTTGATTGAAATATAAAGTTACCTTCCTGTTCTTGTAAAATTGGTCTTGCACCTGACCCAAAGGATTCTCCTCCATAATCGCTTTCTTTATCATTATCATTTTTGTCATCATCCTCATCATTGTCACCTTCGGTACTTGTACCAAAAATTGATTTAAATCCATGATTTGATGACTTCGATGATGAGCCAAACGTATCTATTGGTGAATTGTATTTGGAATTAGAACCAAATATTCCTTGTTTAGGGGGAGATTTGGAATCGGAACCAAATGTATTTTGCTGAGGAGTTAAGGTTGCAAAACTTGAGAACCCCAAAGGCTTAGAATAGCAAAGTAGACATATTAGCAATGCGCCTGAAAATTGTTCCAATATAATATATATATAAATATTTTTAAATGTTACAAATGAATTTTTCCGAGTCTACCTTTGATGATGGAGCTGAAAATTCGACACCGCTACCAAATATTCTAGTGATCGGAGTATATGAAGACCCAAATACTTTAGTATTCTGACTCGATGTACTAGATCCAAACACTTTGGTACTTTGACTCGATGTACTAGATCCGAACACTTTAATACTCTGACTCGGTGTTCTTTCATTTTGAATCTTTTCTTCGTCTTTTTTAGACTCTTCCTCTTTAGCTTCAGCCTCCGTCGGTTCTCTTGTCTTTTCTAATTTTTCAGTTGAATTTTTAATTTTTTGTGATGCTTCTTGTACAATAGCAGTGTCTATGTTGTCTTCAGTAGTTTGGATGCTTGATTCCTTTACAATTACTTCGGTGTCTTGTGCTTTTTTTTCTTCCCTAGGTTTTTCAATATCATCCAATATTAAAAGTTTATTTTCCGATGCACTAATTGGTTTTTCTTCTTTACAAACATCGTTATCCACATCCAACTCATTTACTGCAAGTTTTTTCGAAGAAGTAAACGATTTTGAATCATCTAAAACTTGTATATTTTCGTCGGGTGATAAATTCGCTATAATTTCTTTTATTTCCTCATAATTCATATCCTCATCCTCAGAAGAACGACCTTCTATAAGTTCCTTTCGGTCTTCGTTATCAATTTTCATATTATTATCACCAACTGATGATGAATCAACCGGTTCATTTACATAAACGGCACCAACTTTCATCGTTTCTACCTTTTTTTGCAGAGTTCTCATGGGTTCAGTCGTTTCATTAAGCGTTTTAGGAATTTCTTGCAAATTTTCGATAACATCGTCATGTCGTCTAATCAATTCAATTCAATTCAATTTATTAGTGTAAAATTCGTTAAAGTTTCCAATTATTACTTTGTAAATATCTAAGTGAATCATACTTTTTTTTTGATGGCACGGTTTTATCAACATCTGAAGAGTCCGACTGATTCTGTAAAAAAATAAAATAGCAAAATCACGATCCATGTATATAAAATATTTTTAATTAAAATGTACAATGAAAATAAGTCTTACCTCAACAGGCTCTTTATTTCTAATGTCTGAATTTTCTCGTTCCCTTTTACGTTTGATATCGTCTGCGTAGAAAAAAAACGAAATAGATTTGAGTAAATTCGAATGCGACGAGCTTGGATCCATTAGAATAAGGAGTTCAAATCTAAATACCATAAGAAGAGTCAACAGAAGTTGTAGCCATTTTGAAAAAAAAAATAAAACAGTTTTAGAGAGAGAGGCGTTTAAACTTTTGAGCAAAAAAAGTTGGATATATGTCGTAATAACCGTTTTTAGTTCAATAATTCAATAATTGATGCAATATTTAAAAATTAATGTTAATTTTGCCCAGCATGGTTAACCATGTGGACTATAGAATATCTGCAAGATTTTTTTTTTCCACATTAAGCCATATTATTTGGGCAGCATTAGGTAGCTTTAATTTGTGTTACAAACCAACTATTTTGATTTGATGGATTAAATGCGTTACAATTATCAAACTGACGCCATTAAAAAGATCATAAAGACAAAGACCAATAGGTTTATTTATTCCAAATTTCATGATACTAACAAACGTTAATATAATTCGTTTTTTTTTCCTTTTGATTTACAAGCTTTTACTATTTTGATGACGCGTAAATTCGCGTGTGACGTTTGACTTTTATAATTATATAAAAAAAAAAAAAAAATTAGCGAATAAATACCATATCAATCAAAAATTAGAATTAAAAAGAAAAAAAAATTATTTCTGGCAAGTTTCACAGTCCCAGATTAAGATTGATATTTCAGCTTCGACGATCCAAGATTTGCAGTTAGTTAAATCACGTTTGATACTTGACGCATGAAATTATAAGCACCAATCACAAAAAAAAGTTCAAATGCAAATTCTGATTTGATGTTCGAATTAAATTAATTTACGAATATTCTTTAAATACAAATCATCATTATCATATTTATGACTTTATTATTCTAAAAAAAAACTAAAAAAAGTAGTTTAAAGTACAATTTTTTAATTTTTCTTCATAATATTAAATTATATATATAAACTATTTCTATTAATAATTAGTTTCAAGTTTTGCTATTCATCTTGATACATTATCATTAATTATCTAAATTTTATAACTTAGATTTAACCTCTTTCTAAATAGTATATTATATATAATAAATTTATTTTACTAAATTTTAAAAATAGTAACAATTACTTTATTTTACAAGAATTTTAAAAGATATATTACCTTCTATTACAAACTAAAGATCTAACTTTATACTAACCAAAATAATCTCAATTTTTTATTTTAAGCTTTTTCAAAACTTTATAAAGTATAATATTTTTATTTGATTCAGAATTAACAAATATAAACTTATCTAATAATAATATTTATTTTATTTATCTATTTAATTTGTTTTTATCTACTTATTTTTTATTATTTTTAAATTAAATAAGATTTTATTACAAATGATATACTAAACTGATTATTATGAATAATATATTATAAAATCTATTTATAATATTAAGTAAGTATTTTAAAATAATCAAACTTTTGAGATTTTGTAGAATCTTTTTTTGATATTTTTTATAATATTATTTATAGTAATAGTAGAAATATTAAGTTAAGTTAAAATAATTATTATTTAGTATTACTTAAATATACTAATATTCTTTTACTTTAAGTTTTAAACAATTCATTTTATGTATATATAATGAAAGAAAATACTAGTTATAATTTAAATATACTAATTTTTATAAATAAAATCTGATAATTTAATATAATAATATAGGATTTAAAAGTCTTAAAAAATTTTAATATTTTTTATTTTTATAAGATATATATCTTATATAAAAATTTTTAATTAAAATTATTTATTAAATAAGTTTAAAATATTAGATTTAAAATTTATATTTTAGAATTAGATTATATAGTCAACTCTCTATAAATACATTCTTTTTAGGATTAGATATAAGAATATGTTTAAAGAAAGTGTGTATTTATAGAATATATTAAATCAATATAATATTAATTTAAAATTAAGGTAATATAAAAAATTTATAAGTAAATTATATAAATTTTTTTAATAAAGAATGTTTTTACAGAGAGTATATATATAAAAAATATGAATTTAGTAATATAATGTAAGTTGAGACTAGATAAAATAGTATATATATAAAGGTTATATATTTATAAAGGATGCAGTTATAGAGAGTTAACTGTATTTAAGTAAATCTCTAAATTTTTATTTAAATTAATAAACAAATTTATTTATATAATTATTAAAAAGATAAAATTATATTAAAATTTTAATTAATATTAATAAAAATTTTTTTAAATTTTTAAAACTAATTAAGATTTATTAAAATTTATTAATTAATTATATAAAATAAATAATTAAATAATTTAAATTAGTATTATAATTTTAGTAAAGTTTATTATAAATTTTATATTAGTATTTCTATAATATTAATAAATTTTTTATAAATTTATATAAAAATAATTATTAATTTATAAGTTAAATAATATTTTTTTTAAATTATAAAAAATCCATTTTTTAAAATAAATTTCATTTAATTTTTTTTAAAAAAAATATATAATAGTTTATTTAAAAAAATATATATATATAAAAAATTACATAAGAAATCTTATAATATAAATTTATACTTTACTTTTTAAATATGAGAGTATTTCTAGAAAATCAGGTTCTAAGAAATTTTTGACTAAAATTAAGAACTTAATACATTTTAATTTAATAACATCAAAAACTAAAATGCAATAAAAATCTTAATTTTGCTAAAAAATTTCTGAACCTGATTTTTCTAGCAATTAACCTATATTACAAATAAATCTATAATATTAATTTACTTATTTTAATAAATATCTTAAAAATTAAAATATTATAATTTAATAATAATAATAATAAAATTATAATAATTTTTTTTTTTTTATATATTAATAAATTACTTTTTTAATTTTTTTAAATTATTTATAAATTTTATTATATTTTATTATAATAAGTTATTAATAAATATTTATTTTCTTAGTAAAATTTAATTAGTTAAAAAAAAATAGATTTAGTATTTACTAATTGGTATATAAAATAAGAAGCTAATATAAGTTTAAAATTATTTGTATTAAATAATGATTTTAGACAATTGGATAATTGGATATAATCTAATTGTATCCAATATCTAATTGTCTAATTGAATATTTGTTAGAATTATACTATGTCTAATTGTCTAATTAATAGATTAGAATTATAATTGTAATTATTAACTAATAGATTAGTTATAGGCGAAAATTAATAAATAAATTTATATTTTTAAGTCAATTGATTTATAAAACCTTTAGATTTTGTTTAATAATCTTAATTATTTTATTAATTAATTTAATTTAATATTAAGAATTAAATGATATTTTATTTATTCAAAATTAAAAAAGAATCAAATTTTATTTTTTATTAAATAAAATTTTGTCTAAAATAAAAGTATTATACCCGGATATAATACATTTCTTTGAAAGAAATTTTCAAACTTCAATATATCGTATAATCACTTTTTCGCCTTCAATATTCCAAGGGGGCAATTTTGAATTGAACAGGGCTATAGTTTAATATTACAATATATATTATATAGTATATATCGATTTCATCATCATTATGATTACATACGGAGATGGATTGAGCCAATAGAATTGGACCGAAAAGTTTATGTCGTATCAAGCGTTAAAAACCCCTTTTTGCTTGAAAACAAAAAACAATTTACTTCTTCTCACTTCTCCAAGACCGGAAAATCAACAACAAGGTATATTTTTTATTTATTATTTGTATTTTTTTATTTACTTTTCAAGTATAAGGCTTAAACATTTTTTTATATACAATATAAAACGATTGTTTACCTGAAGATTTCCGAGTTCTTTGGTACTGCCGAAGACAAAGAGGGGTAGAGGAATTTTGCCTATGGCCAAATAACGCGGTTTCCAGTCCATCCAGCTTTATTTTCCTCAGCTTGATTTTCCTGTCCTGTGAAGAAATTGTCAAAGCGGGTAATGATGGACTAGAGGTTTTTGAAGTTTAACCAGTTTAACGGTAAAAGTCATTATATCGAGTTATCGGCCGCGGCTATAACCCGGTTCTCAGTGATCTTTGAAGTTGAACCAGTTTAACCTAAATAATCATTATATCGAGTTAGCAGGCGTTTTGCCTGCGGCTATAATAACCGGTTTCAGTGGTTTTTGAAGTTTTAACCTAAAAAAATCATTATACCGAGTTATCGGGCGTTTTCCTGTGGCATAAATACGCGGTTACCAGTCCATCCAGCTTTATTTTCCTCAGCTTGATTTTCCTATCCTGTGAAGAAATCGTCAAAGCGGGTAATGATGGACCAGTGATCTTAGAGGTCATTTAAACCGAGTAATTTTGGGATTAAAGGGCTACATTTTATATGTTTTTGGTTTTCCTCCGTATTTAGGGGATACTGTCCCTTATTTACACTGGTAACCATTAACGTTATATTATGTTGCCTGTGGTAATATTTTTTTTTTTCAAGAGAAATTATACATAAATTTAATATTTATAAAGGAATAATATGGTGCGCCCTAATTCTTAGTAAATTTATTAGTTTATAATGAATTTCTTAAAAAAAAAAAATTTTTTTTTAAACTCGAACAAGGCTTGCCACCTCTACGCGGTGTCCGGGAGAAACAGTTATAGATTAATCTATATCTGGCCAAGTGCAAGCATATTAGTTTTATCGAATACGTTCTTAATTCTGACTGTGAATAGTTTATAGAATTAAAGCCATTTCAGTTACATATTTTGGAGATTAGAACGGGTTTTGTAAAACAAGTTGTCACTTAATTTTTTCTATAATTAACGAAAAAAAGGATATCTTTCAAAGTTTATTAAGTTATTATCGTAAATTAAAGGTTTGCATTTTGCCGATGTGTTGAGAGATATTGATTATGGAATGAGGCAGCCGCAAATATTTTTTTTTTTTTATAATTGATAAATTTATCAACAGACGTGATTGCTTTTTATAACGCTAATTTTCTTTCTCTGCTCCCAAAAATAATTCAACTAATTACAATACCAATCATATTGTATCCTCCTCATCACTTTCCCCTTCAATTATTTCTTCTTTTCTTTCGTTCACCTGATTATAAAATAATTCCGCTAATTGTTCACTAGTAGTGGCTTCTTCAATGCCCTTATCTTCCCTAACTCTTATAAATCTCGGGAATCTTAATGAAAGACCTTTATTCTGATCTACTTTGCCAAGAGCTGCTTTGTAAACTGGTGATATTGTAATATCCGCACCTTTAATTTCCCAGACTTCACTTGGCTCAAACCAAGCTGATAAGTTACAAGTTGATATTTTAGGAAAGAAATCATGAATTCATCAATGCATTACAGCATAATTTACTTACCATCTGGTCTAAGACCATCATCTACATCAAAATATGGTTTTTTATACTCTGATATATTACCATTTTCTCGCGAGTACTTTAATTTTAATTCCTTATAAAAATCATCACTGAATCCTGACATACATTTACATACACTTTCAAATGTTTCCGTATCAGGATTATAAATTGCAAATAAAATTGGACTCCACCATCCGGCTTTTCTACCATTTCCATACCACGCACCAATAGGCTTTCAATAAAAATAAAATTATGATAAAATTTGGGAATTTTCGCGTTATCCCAATGAAACGAAAAAAAAATTTGAAAACGAAATATTTTACCACAACATCCAGGCTGTCACCAATGCCATCAAGGTAATCTTTTTTAACTTTTAACCAACTTTCGATCCTTTTATCTATAGAAATAATTAAAAAAGACAGTTAATCAATAGTAGCAATTCGATACGCGTAAAGGAAATTGCACTTCAATTTATAAATAAAATAATATTAGACAAACCAGGTTCATAACTGGCCAATAAATTCATTCGCGTCTTGCTTTTCAAGCCTTTTGGTGGGTCATCCAACACCTTAACCATTATACCTTCACATCCAAATTCCATGGATTCCTTAAAAAACGAATGAATCTCCTCAGGATCAGATGATTCAATATGGTTAACATATGTGAATCGATTTGGAATTTCCGTGAATTTGGTCCTCAGAAGTTCTCGTCTTTCTCTTAATGGTTTTTTCAATAACGACTTCAAACACGAATTAGATAAAATAAAAAATAATAAAATAAATCTTCTAACATACTTACCTCGCCATTTAAATACATCAAATCAAAGGCAAGAATACGAATTGGTATAGAGATGGAAGATAACTCAACATTTTTCCTCGACCGATTGGTTAGTGCTTGAAAATTTCGTATTTTTCCATCCAAGTCAACGGCTACGACCTCGCAATCCAAAATAAAAGATTCAACATTATTTAAACAAAATTGAGGTACCATCTCGACTATATCAGGAAATCTATCCGTCATATTCTGTTCAACAAGATTATAAATCAAAAAAAGGTTAATTGAAATGTTCTATTAATACCTCGATAGGTTTTAAAGAAATTACCTCTAGATTACGACTAAATATTGACACATTCCTATCAGCGTCCATATGAATTTGAGCGCGTTGTCCATCATACTTGTATTCACAATTGAATGACCTTCCCTCAAGATTTTTGAAAACTTGTCCCAAATCTCGAGTAATTTTGCCCAACATCGGTTTTAAGGGAACGCCTACATGATAAAAAGTAAACTATCATCTCGTAAACATACGTTCCGCTAAAAAAAAAAAAATTAATTAATTTACGCCCAATTCTCTTATTAATGTATTTACCAACTGTTAAATAACAGACATCCAACAGTTTTTCTATCGGATACTCTAAAAGAAACCTAACAATGCCATTGTAATTGGGAAATTGTGCATAGCACTCTTTCAATAATTTTTCGGCCGCTTTTAATTTAGCGTTCAAAGAATCTCTTGGTTCCTTTTTGATATTTTCAATAAACAGACGGTTTGTATCGTCAAGTGACTCACTGATAGCCATATTGGTTGGCCTTGTAAGACAAAACGCGTGTGAAAGAGCGATTAAACACGTCATCCTCACGGAACCAATCCTCAGATTTTGTATCAATGTTCTTGTAAGATACCTAATCTCTTCCCCTTTACAAGAGATTAATAGCTTTTTCACTAAATCAGCCTTTTGATCTATCACACCAGTCCCCTTTAATTTGGAAATAGAGATAAGTGTTTTGTATACTTTATCAATCGTCAAAGGTTTATGTTCTACTAAAGTTCGAACCGAAACTTTCGCTGCGTAAGTTACATCACCCCAATCTCCATATCTGTCATAATACTGTTTCAATGTCTTTGAAGAAGCCCCAGATATGGAAGTGACGGCTTTTGTTAATATTTGTGAACCAATTCCGAGTTCTATGCCTTCATATGAAGGGGCTATGGCATTTGAAGAAAGCCATACAGCGGGTAGAACGCTATCGGGATCATTATAAATAATAGTGCGAAACATATTTGTCAAACAATCTATAATCTTAAGTCGACTTGTTGTTTTTTCAACGATAACAAAAGTGTCGCTTAGGAAGCGATAAGGAACTTTCAATCCATTCCAATTAATCTTGGACGGATCAAATTCCGAAACATCCATATCAACCGACATCTCGGATGAACCTGAAGAAGGCACGGCGCTGCTATTTAACGTGACTTTCCTACTTTGTATAGTAGAACCGGCGGGTTTTTCAAAAACCGTCCCACTTTTATCGGAAGTATCCAAGTTTATCACTGCTTCCGGTTGTTTAACTGTGACACGTAACTCTTTAACACTGTCATTATCTGCAATTGACTCTAAATCTTCTTCGGAAGCAACATTCGTCACACCGATAGCCTCAATTTGTTTGATATTATTATTCTCTTCCTTGTTAGAACTCTTCTCAGGTTTTTTAGAACCGGTCTCATTTGTAGGTTTACTCTGTTTGCTAAAATAAAATTCCAAATTACGTTGACTTTTGTCTTCTTTAACCTTTTTCTTGGCCGGAGTCTTCTTAATGGTGGATTTTCTCTTCATTCTAGGTTGTTATCACAAGGTGAAATATAAAATTAAAAAATTAGAATTTAAACAAATTAACTGCGGATCTATTGATCAAAATCAGATGAGATGAACCAAAATTTTTTTTTCGACTTTCAACTTATTCTTTTATTAATTCTAATCTATTTGCATTAAATAAGCACAATACAAATGTATTCGCTTAGAACATTTAGTTTCAGGTTAAAACCTTGTGTGCAAACCGTGACTGTTCAGACATCAAAGAGGTGTTTGAACAGTTCTGCCCGTCGTGAGTTGAAATTTATGGAATTCTGAAAAAAAAATTCAAAGTTTAAAAATTTACAATAATTGATATTAAAATATATATACAATTTTATTTTAATGTAGCTTTGGCTGTTTCCGGTATCGCATTCAATAATGTCAAAGTGGTATGTACCAAATTTTATTTATCTATCCTCTTTGCTACAAACGAAGACGCGGATCATCGGTATTGTAAAAAATGAAATATAGAACCAAAACATTAATCAATGAAAGATGAACCAAACTTTTTTTCCTCCGTGTAATTAAAAAAAAATTGTTCTAAATCAATTACCCATTGATCCGCGCTTTCAGCGAACAAAGAATTTCGTTGATATGTGTTGTCAAAAATCTCTTCTTTTTGTTCGATTGTAATGATCCAGCTTGAATTGCGATCACAAAATTCTTTCCTAGGCCACCTTTAACTTCATAAATTCGTCAAAAGTCCATGGCACGTCATCGATACGATTTAATTCACAGAGATGCGGCATAAGTATGATTCATCATTTTTATATTGGAAACAATTTACACGTATTTTTTTTTAAAAGAAATTCAAAAATGGTTCCATAATATGTACGTATCTAAATAAATTTTTAGTTAATAGAACTTATGCGACCGAATCAGCTAAATTCAAACGTGGAAAACCACACGTAAATATCGGCACAATCGGGCATGTGGATCACGGAAAGACTACTTTGACGGCTGCGATCACTAAATGTTTGTCGAGCAAAGGGCAAGCACAGTTCAAGGATTATGGTGAAATTGATAAAGCTCCTGAAGAGAAAGCCAGAGGAATTACCATTGCTACAGCACACGTAGAATATGAAACTAATACCAGACATTACGCACATGTCGATTGTCCTGGTCACGCCGATTACATCAAAAACATGATCACTGGTGCAGCTCAGGTGGGTCAAACGGACAGGTTACGTCATAAAACTACCTCGCTTGCCCATTTTAACTCGACTGATACTTTCATACAAAAAGATGGATGGAGCTATTATCGTTGTGTCAGCTACAGATGGACAAATGCCTCAAACTCGGGAACATTTACTACTTGCTCGACAGGTTGGTGTTTCAAATCTTGTGGTATTTATCAACAAAGTCGATGCGGTAGATGATCCAGAGATGTTGGAATTGGTCGAAATGGAAATGCGTGATTTGTTGACACAATATGGATTTGATGGTGAAAATACGCAAATTATTCAAGGATCCGCTCTTGCAGCTCTTGAAGGAAGAGATCCTGAGATTGGAGAAAAGGCTATAGAAAAATTGATGGACGCAGTGGATAAGCATATTCCTACTCCTGTCAGGGATCTGGATAAACCCTTCTTGATGTCCATCGAAGGCAAGTAAAAGGGGGAAGGTTTTATCAATAATACATTTCATTATGTGTTAATCTCATCTTTTCCCCGCTTAGACGTGTTTTCAATTTCTGGACGTGGTACGGTGGCCACGGGCCGAGTGGAGAGAGGAACTATTACGAAAGGTGCAGAAATTGAGATTGTTGGTATGGGTACTCCAACAAAAACCATTTTAACAGGCATTGAGATGTTTCACAAAGAACTTGATAAGGGAATGGCAGGAGATAATATGGGGGCCTTATTACGGGGTGTTAAACGAGAGCAAATTCGAAGAGGACAAGTCATCGCAGCACCTGGTACAGTGAAATCACATAAGAAATTTCTGGCACAATTGTATATCTTAACAAAAGAAGAAGGGGGAAGGCATACACCATTTATGCAGAATTATAGGCCACAGATGTATTTTCGTACATCTGACGTTACGGTAAATTTAACGTATCCCAAGGGAACGGAAAACCCAGAAGAAAAAATGGTCATGCCAGGTGATAATGCCGAATTAGAATGTGACCTTGTACATGACGTTGCGGTCGAGCCCGGGATGAGGTTTACAGTACGCGAAGGTGGAAAAACTGTTGGGACAGGTGTTATCACTCAAATTCTTGAATAAATTTAGTTAATATCATAAAACTTCCGATTTCTATTTTTTTTTTTTCTTCTTAAAACATCGTGTAAGTTACACTTTTGAATTCGAGATGACAAAATTAGATCAAAATCCGGTGTAATGTGATTAAAATATTCTTTTATTCAAAAGTACATTGGTAAATAATTTTTTTTAGTTGTACAAATAACTTAATAATTTATTAAACAAGATGCCAAATTTTTTGGCCGACTTTTATCAAACTTCCCATTTTGACTAGGATAAATAATTATGATGATAATTCCTGTTATCAAAATTTGGACCCATAACACGATTATTCTGAAATTGACTGTAATTTATGAATTGTCCACTGCTGGGATATCTAGATTGATCATGCGAAGTACTACTAAGATTATTAAGAAGATCGCCGTTAGAATTACTTTGTGACAAATTTTCTCGCTCATCACTGTAAGGATTCACAGCATGAGCCCGGATTTGATTATCAAAATCATGAATTCGCTCATTAGTATTATTATCATGTCTATTATAATTCTGATCATTGTGTTCATAGGAAGGAGGAGGTGGGGTACGAGTAGGATAAGGAGGTGGAGGGGTAGGTATTAATGGTGGAGGAGGATTCAACAATATCGTTGAAGGATGGATTTGAGTTTGGGGAGCAAATGTCATTTGAGGACGGTATACCATTTGATGAGTAACATCGTATTGCACGGGTGCCTGCACGCGTGGCGGTGACGATGTATGCACTCCTGCGCCTGTATGAGCTTGAAATTGTCGAAGTGCATAAGAATCTTTTGCCTGTTGCTCGGATTGTTTACATTTTGAACATATTCCCGGTCCCTAGAAGGATTAGGATTTGACTTAAAATATTGATACTTTCTGTGAAATGAACAAAAAAAAAAACTTTTTTTTAGTCGATACGTACTGTTGGTCTACAACCCACGCCTATTAAATCCAATGGAAGGTTTTTCCCCAATTAACGAATGCATTTTTATTTGAATTACTTTTAGAGGTTGAAATTGAATTAAAAATTCATGATATGTTGAATTGTAATAAAACAAATAATTACCATTATAACCGTCACCCAAAGGATTTCTTTTATCGTAATTCGAAATGAAGAAAATGAAATAAATTCAGCACAATTCATGAATGTTTTTTAAATAATTTGCGATATGAATGTAAAATTAGTAAATACCTATTAAAGTACCCGAAACAACATTCTTTAAATAAATAACAAGGACAACAAAGACATGCTGTCAGATAATTTTCAAATAACCACTCTTTCTCTAAATGAAAAAAAAAAATAAGACGATATTAAATAAAAATTGGGGAAAAGGGTGGTTTGAATTTTTTAAACAAACTATTGTTGATATACCGAAATCATGTAATCCGCCTGCGGGACACAACTTGTGAGGAAGATAATCATTGTAAGAAGACGACCCGTCGTCTTCAGTATTGTTAATTATAGAGTTTCTACGAACGAAATGATTATTTGAATAATTCATAATAATTTAAAAAAATGTAAGGGGTATAGCAAGGAAAGAATTTCTTGGGAACATTTAAAAATGTCCCACTGACAAAAAGGTACAATTGGAAATTTATTTATTTTTTTTTTTTTTTTTTTCACTTTTATCCAGTTCAATTAATTACCTCACCTTATTTAGAATAATACTTACATATTTGTCACACAAAGTGAACAAATATATACATAAACATCTTTTTCCAACTTTCAAAACTTTTCAAAAAACCAACTACATTTCAAATTATTTTAAAGATTTCACCATGGGTAATCCATCGAAGCGTACTAATAAAAAATCCCCTACATACTCCTCGGAAATTGATGATATACCAGAAGATGAAAAAATGCGATTAATCAATGAATCTGGTATAAAGGAAATGTTTAAAAAAATAGAACCAGTTCGTCAAGAACAAATTTTGGAGGAAGATTTAGATCCGTTCGTTTACGGACCAACTTTTCAAGCTTTCCTTTATACCATCCCACTTTGTTCCGTTTATACTGTTATGGACATTTTAGTACATAGACAATACAATGAAGATGTTTCCATCTTCCCTTTCTCGACTAGAGTACTAAAGATCGCCCCAAGTAAGTCAAACGAAGGGATAGTGTTTCTTTCCTAATAAACTGATTTTTAACTTTTTTTCACTTTATCAAAAAAAAAATATAGTTTTATGGTTTTTTGTTTATTATACAAATAAAAATGTAAAAAAACCTTGGATACAAGCATTTATGTTTTTAGGCTCAATAGGATGTGGTTGTTATTTAATTTATGTTTTAAACAAAATTTCTTATTATGGTGTGATGCGTAGATGTCCCCCTCTTGCTACTTTATGGATTTATTTCGTTATTCAACTTAATCTATGGCCTTCAGTGCTTAGTTTAGTTTTTGTTTATTTATTCTTTAGAATCGGTGAATTTAAATTAGGTTAAAAAACATAATTTCTAATGATTGATAATATTTAATATTTTTCTCACTTTTAGATATTAAAGAATTTAATAAAAAAAATTAGATTTTTGATAAAAAGGAATTATATTTAATAAATATTCAAAAATAAGGAAACAAATAATTGTAATAATAACTATTATTGATAACCTATCTATCTATTTGATTCTTACCCACTATATAAACTAAAACTACAAAACAAATATAATAAACACATACTACGTATTTTATAAGAAATATAATAATTTAACCCAATAATTTATCTAAACCACCAAAAAGTTTTTTAGATTTGGATGAAGCTGATGAGCCAGTAGACGATGGTTTTTGAACATGGCCATATTGATGTTGCTGTGATGGTGGTAATGGTGGTAATGGATATTGACCTTGTGATGGGTAACCTCCGCTCTGTGGTGGTTGCGGATATCCAGAAGTTGAATATGCGTTTTGTTGATAAGCTGCTTGTGGTGGAAATCCTTGTTGTGGATATCCAGCTTGTGTGGTTTGATAAGAAGGTTGCGATGGGAAATAACCTGATGGCGAATTTGATCTGTTAAATGGTGGTGGCGTTGTATTTGTTGTTGCACCCGGACGAGGTGGTAACTGTGGTGGTGTCGAGGAAACTTGCATTGGTGACTTCGCGTAACTTCTCGTGGGAGGTCGATAAAGTTGTTTTAAATCATCGATAAATTTGTTAGGTGTAATGATATGAGTCGATCCTATAATAGGAGGTAGGAATGTTAACATTATATGTTGAATGAGTAAGTGAATAAAAATTAGTATTTACTCACCAATAACAACATCTCGACACAATTTGGCACTAACTTCATAAGAACTACGAAGTTCAGAATATGTAACTCCACCAGCAACGAAAACTATTATTCTTCCTACCCGATTTTCCACCTAAAGCGAAATATTTAGAATTCTCTTACGATTTAAGAAAAAAAAAAGGTAAAAAAAAAAAAAAAACTCACCGCCTGACCTTTCTTATACCAACCAGCTCTTGCACTTCTTAACGATACAGGTCCTTGTTGTGTTCCTTTTAACCCGTCAGGATCTCCCGTTGGATCCTTTGTGTATGGATATGCGGTGTGATCTATAGTACCATTAATATGGCTCTAGAAGGAAGAATACCTAATCAATATGAATAAAAATGCTATAATAATAATAATAATTATCTTTAAATATTTCACCTCCAAAAGAAGTTTTAATTTTGGAATATAACGGGAAATTTCGTATTGAATATCATCACTTGGTTTTTGTCGATATTTCTTGTTCTTTTTTAAACTTGATTGAACCTAAGGAGATAAATAATGAAGAATAAATACTTAAAAGTGATCTCATGAACTAACCGACATAACTATCATAAACTAAACTTAATTCTAACCCTAATCAATTTGATTCCGAATAATAACAAATTGTTTATAGCATCGTTTTCTTCTAATGTAATCCTTGCATGCTCAAGCAATTTACGTCTATCTTCTTCAAGAATACCGTTCTTATACATAATATATAACATAAGCATTCTGGTCTTATTCAATGAACTATAATATACAAGAGATATATCTATGTTATTTAGAAATCCGTCTCAAAAAAAAAAAAAAAAAAAAAAAAAATTTTTTAACCAACAAATGTAAAAGTTATCACCTCACAACAGGATTATCTAATAATGGAACCATATCTTCAACTAAAGTCTTTGGATGAACTCCATCAGCTGTATGCCCCGTAGCACAATTCTATTTCCCATATTCAAAAAGAAATGGTTAGTATTATAACAAATTTTATTGAAGAATAATGATCAATTATCATGCCTGTTCTATAGTTGCAGATTCAGCGAGGCTTTCTCTTTCAAATAAAGCCATACATTCTTGTGCAATACTTAAATGTACGGAAAACTTTTCTTTCATATTTTGAAATTGTGGCAAGGTTGCCAACATCTTCTTCATATCATTTAAATTGACGGCCTTATCTCTAAAATAAACATTATTCCTTTAAAAGAAAAGTATGTAACTAAAATTTTCCCTAATAAATCAATTAAAACCTACTTTTCGGCAAATCCTTGATTTTCAGTCAAGAACTCATTAAAATCTTTCATAAGCTTATCGATACAATCCTTCATATGCTTATGTCTAATTTCAACCCAAATGCTATCTGTCTCATCAAGTATGGCCTCTTTTGTTGCTTGAGAACCATCTTCACCAGTATAATTATAATTATACTTTCCATCTTCAATCGGCAAAAGATCATTAGCCATTGCTTGATAAGTGAATTCATGTAAAATCGGACTATACATATCAATAGTTCTATCCACAATGAATAAAACACCACGTGGACGAGTAGAATCTTGTGGCTAGAAAATAATAATTTCGACTTTACTAAATTAATCAATGAACAAGATAAATATTAGAATAATATTTACAGGAAAACCTGGATTAAGCCTAACGAAACTATCCAATTCATTCTGAACCAACATCGCCAATTTATAAGGTAAAGCCTTTGTTGGATGATCGGAATCAAGAGATCTTTGATAACGGATCAATGGATTTTCACCCAAAGATATACATACAGAAAGTAGCTAACGAAAAAAAAAGATAGAGGGAGACAATTAAGACAAAAGTTTTTAACTACGATCCCAATTGAAATTTCATTATAATTACTTTTTTAGCAAGGATCCTTAATTCATCGTCAAATCCAGCATTTTCTTCAGGTGAATACAACTTGAAAAAACTTAAAGGTGACTCAAACGAGTAAACATGAGCTTCCTTTGCTATAAAATTGAAATGATGTTAAATAAGTCACTCAACGTTAACGTAAATATATAAATTTATGAAATATACCATGAAATTCAATAAAGAGATCGATACGTTGTATCAAGTAATCCCTCGGTAAAGCAGAATCTAACATATGAAGCAATTTATCATCAGGTCCTAAAAGAAAAAAGATCAAAATGTAATTAAAAAAAAGGTTATATATAATTATCAAGAATAAAAATAAAATAAAAATAAAATAAAAATAAAAAAAATCTTACTTGATACGAAAAATAAATGAATATGAGCATACAATGGCGTCACATTGCTTTTAAAATCTTCAATCACTTTATTAATAGACTCGTAAGTTGGGGTAATTATATAAACCGCATCAAGTGATTGATAAGCTTGACGGGGCTTTTCAAGATTTTCTACCGCTTAATAAAGGATAAAAAATTAAAACGGAAAACTTCATTTGGAAATAAACAGGTATAAATACTTACAAGTTACTTTCTCTTCAAGAATATCAAACATTTTACAAGCAGACTCTATTATCTTTAGTGATGCTTCATCTACCACTACTACCTTCCAACCACCAGGCGGTTGAACTGATTTTATTGCATCAAGGATACCTAACCGAAAATAAAATAAAGGAATAAATATAAGGACAGCGCATCAATAAAAAAAAAAAGGTAGCGATTAAACATACGTTTTTTAAGGATTTCGTGAAGAGCAATAGTCATATTTGGAGATTAGAATGGATTTACGAAAAAAAAAAAATGAAATATTTATTTCATTTTTTGCATTTTTGATATTTTAATATTTATATATCTTATGATCAGCGATATTATTACTCTGATCGAGTTCAATAGATAATATATCCCTGTAATTCTCGTTTCTCTCGCACATAGAATAATATTACCCCACAAATTCAAGGAGAAGAGATAAAAATAAAAAATGAGTTGCTAAACAGAAGAATGATGTAATAATCGACATAACTTGTCTTTATATATTAGATCGTAGACCGATATTTTGGTACCAATAATATTAATAAAATGTTTACATGGATTATTTTTTCCAGCTCGTCATTAAAAACAAAAAATAAGTTACGTGCGGAATTTATTTTTACTTTTACACGTTAAGACATAGTTATAAGAAAACTAAAAAAATTGAAACGAATTCGATATTGATATTGATTTATTTAGTGATTACGTGAAAAATTGAAAATTTTGTTTATACAATTTAAAAAATTAATTAAAAAATAAAATGGGTATTAAAAATTTTTACAATTATATATAATAAATATCTATGTGCAAAATGTAAAATGTCTAATAAAAGTCCGTTGCAAATGATAAATAAAGTCCGTTATTGTTAATCCAAGTCCATATCATCGGAATCTGATAAATCCGATAAATTAATGGTTAAAGGTAAGTTTAATATTGAAAACACCTGCTGTTCGCTCTGTGGAGAATTTGCACTTTCATTTTCATTCGGAGCGGCAGCTACTTTCAACACATCGCTTTGCAGAATTGCAGGAGCGCGGCACGTTGGACAACGAAAGTCCAATGTTCGTGACATTGAATTGATATCACGTAATGAATAACCCTCAACTAATAAAGAAGTTCTTAAACATGAAACGTGAAACCTGTGATGGCATCGTGGTAATGTTATTATAGGTGTTGGTAAATTGTTGTCAATTTCTTCACAGCATCCAACATTTGCCAAGGCACATGAGATTGTTGAACAATGTGCTGAATCTGAATGTGAATTGATGGATGGTGAATTAGACTGTGCTGTAATTGTCGGCGTCACTGTGGTTGTCGTTGTGGTTGTTGTTGTCGTTGGAGGTGAATGATTGGTACCGTTCAAGGGTACATTATCATTATTATTATTATTATTATTATTATCAGTTTGCTGTTGTCTTCCTTCAGCTTCGATTTCTTTTCTACATAAAGGACACGTATTATTTTGCCTTAACCATTTGAAGAGGCACGACTCACAGAACATGTGATTACATGGCATCTTTCGCACAGGTTCTGTGGTCACAGTCGCTTCATTATCTCCATGATCTGTTGTGTTTTCTTTTTGTTCATCGGAAAGAGAGAAAAGGTCGAAGCAAATCGGACAACTTGCTTTTGCATCTAAATGTTCTTTAGTTATGGTGACAACTGGTAATTTTTTCATGACCGACTCTGAAGCACGTGGTTTTTGAACTTCTTGTGGCATAAAGAAGGGTGTAAAGAAAAATACGTTTGGGGTGGCTTGACCATCTCCTCCTGGTGTTACTGGCATCGGGAATACATAGAAATGGAATTGAGGAACTTGTCCTTGAGGTTGAGGTGGTTGTGGTGAACCATTTTGATTGTTATTCGATGTTTGTGTTGATTGGATATTAGTATTTCTTGATCGATTTTGTTCTCCAAACATAAATGGTAAAAAGAAATCGATAAATCCGTTATTGTTTTGATTCTGTTCTGGTTGCTGTGATTGATTGTTATTATTTTGTTCGCTATTCATTTTAAATTTTATTATTCAAGGAATAAATTATTATTATTTTTTTTTCTCTTCAATGTTATTCACAATGTATATTTATATGTTTGACAATTTTGTGATGGAATCTGCTAGAAATCTCCAGATAAGGTTAATTTCTTGGCGTTAATATATTTTATTATAAAGATTAATAATTCGATATTCATTTTTAACTGGTTTTAACAAGATGTTTCCAGAACTTTATTTGGTCAATTAAATATCACCACATTATATTAAATCATCCGATTTTCCGAACCAGTAATGACTTCATCTGTCGATCTTTCGATCGTGCGGCATAACGCGATCATCCCCCTACCGATGTATTGTGATAAATGTGTTTAAACATCATAACGACAATGAACCAAAATTCACCATATTTATCATCTTTATGGCAAAAATGTGTCATTTGAAATCACATTAACATTTCTTCCATAATAAGGGAACCAAAAGTAACAATTCTGATTATGTTATTGAAAAATCTAACTAGGAGATTATGTAATGTACTGCGCCCACAATACAGATTCGATTACCAATAAGAAAGTAAGGGGGTAGACAAATTAATTTGTCATATGAAAGTGGAAAATAATTGTTTGTATATAACACGCAATAAATTAATAGTTATTCCTAAATTAGGTTAGTCATTCATCATCTTTAGTCATGACCATACGGAAAATGTGTATTTTTAGAGCGAACTTAAAATCAATGTTGTAATTCGAAATAATATTTTTCTTTTTCGTGTGGTGTGGTTTTTGTATGGGGAAAGGCAAAAATGGCGTCATTTGAATTTTTTGACACTATTTTAAGAAATTTATAATGCCCCAATAAAATAACGCCATTTCTAATAAGTTTCTCGTTCTCTTGGTGAAATTTCACACTCTAAAGCTCTCCTTATTATTAGTATCAGAATTTAATAATAATTTTAACGAGAAATTGGTCCCTTTTTCACAACGACTCAAGGATTTTTCTATTAATTAACATCAATGATTGTAATCAATTTTAAATTACTTCTTCAAATATGCCTATTTTTATATGAAGTTATATTAATGTTACACCTGATCTTAAATTTTGATTGGATAAAATTGAGGTGTTTTACAAATAAGACGCGTAAACATGTTACAATTAGATCTATCCTAATCATAATACCTTTTTTTTTTTCTCGTTTAATTTCAAAAAAATATTTTTAATCTAAAAAATGACAACGCGCGAAAAAATTAATACCGAACTAAATAAAGCAAAAGTAAGATTGGGGAAGGCGGAAGAAGATCTGAGGAGATGGAATGAAGAGTGGAGAGGGAAGCTGAACCAGTTGTTGTTGGAAGGAGTGGCAGAAAGGCTTGAGCTGTTTATTTTCTTAAAAGAAGAACTGAAGTCGTTAAAAGCGGAAAAGAAGAAGAAGGAAGATCTAGTGGAGTATTTCTTAAAAAAATTAGTTGAATTTGACGAAGAAAAAGGTAATGAACAAATTTTGTAAAAAAAACGTGTGATGAAAATTACATTTATTCACGGCTATTAAATTAATATTAATTCTTAACGTTTCTTTTACCATTTTATCTTTTTTAAATATACAATCTCGTTTCATCATATTTCTTCACACATTCTTCTATTTCTCATGTTCACGCATTTCCTTTTATTCGCATTAATCATTCATTTTTTCAAAACTCTGTCTTCTTTTTTACTTTACAGAAAATTTACAAGCTATTCAATATATTCGACGTGTTTTTAATATCACTGGTGCTGTTAATGAAAATTTACATTATGTTGTCCCATTACAAGAATTAAGGGGTGCTTCTATCATGGAACGCATTGCTTATGGTGCTAATCTTCTTCTTCATGGTGCACGCCAGACTGGAAAATCATCACACCTTGAATATGTTCGCTCTGTTGCTCTCAGAGGATGGCTTCCTGATATCAATTCTCAGGTTATTAAAAGGCATTGTAGTAAAGGATTAATAGTCATTCAATTGAACTTTGAGCTTGTTGATTTTTCATCATTGGATAGTTTTTGGGATTCTATTTTTTCAATGTTAGCTAAATATAATCCTAAGCATTTTGACATTGACATAGAAGCCTTGCAAAAACTTTCACCTGCTGCAAAAAAACAGGCTTTTCAGAACTTATTTCTTTTAGAAAAGTTCACAAAATTAGTTCTTTTACTTGTTGATGAATTTGATATGATTTTGGAACAAATTACTATCAAATTAGAGTTTTTATCTGCATTACGTGGTTTACGAAATTCATGTTCTGCATCTTTGGTTGACGAGCAAATGAATAGTCATATGTTATATTCTTTTGTAGCTGCTGGAACATATAACATTGTAACACTTCTTGACTCAGTACCAAATCAAGACATTTCTTTTGGCAAAAATGAAATACTACCACATTTTATGTATCAATCACCATTTAATATTAGTGAGATTATGTGGGTAGGTTTTTTTAGTATAGAACAAACTCAAAAAATGTTTCAAACTGCTTATGAAGAAAGTCATTGGCATTTGCGTATGGATCTAGATATTCTCAATTCAATTGCCACAGATATTTATGAACGTACTCATGGTCATCCAGGACTCACAAGTCAGTGTGGTCAGATACTTAAAGATGAAGTTTTAAGTAGAAAATCAAATGTATTATTGAAGCATTGGAAAAAATATGCCTCAGAGAATCTAATTAACCGGTTGGTTCATACATCCACTTTTGTAAGAATGTTGGATAAATTAAATCATTTACATAAATCACAGAGTCAACTTGTCACAGCTGCGAGAAAACTTCTCACTACTTATTTATATCACACTTTTCTTGCTGAACCAACATTAAATGTACTTCCTGCTGTTGATTATCTAATAGCAATTGGTATTTTTATTAGAAATGAAGATAATGATATTGTTTTTTCATCACCCATCATCAGACATCTTTGTTTTGAACGATTTATAATAATTCAACATAAATATAATACGAGTAATATCCTAGAATTTTTTTCTCCTGATAATGGGTCTGTTAAAATATTAATACTTCTTCAACATGCAGTTAAGCTGTTACATCCGCAAACATTGATTGCACAAGAAGTACAAAACTGTAGAAAAATTGCTGAATATATAGTTCACTTTGAACTTTATGCAAATATCCGTCATATAATACAGGCATTAAATGATGAGATGACTCATATGTTTGGATATGTTTGGAATACCTTTTCTGTCTTACTTGAAGCAAAATATTCAGCTAAGATGAGACAACAACGTCTAGATTTACTTATTTATAATAGCAAGAGATTTGCTATAGAATTGAAGGTAGATTCAACATCTGAGAATGAAGTATATGATGCAATTTCACAACTTGAAGATTATGCAGATGCAATGGATGCTGATGAATCCTATCTTATTATATATACTAAAAATCTTCCAAATATATATAAGCAAATAGCTATGTTAACACAATTTATTATTATTTGGCTTGTTAACAAAGAAGGACAAAGAAAATTAGATTTTGTTATTGCAAATCAAGAGATAATTGAGATTGATTTACAAAAACATTTCTAATTAAATGTTTATTTCAAAATTTAATGATTAACTCATGATCTGAGATCTTTGCATTTACTAATACAAAACATTTTTTATCTGAATATCATTGTTTTAAGATATATCGGTGGGATGGTAAATATACTAATAAAACCAAATATATGTATAAGATGCATTCACAAATTTAATTATATTGGATTGAGTCATAATCTGATCCACATTCACAAATTATATAATTGGATTAAGTTGATTCAATCAATCTATTTGGATTAGATTTTATTTCATACTATTCTTTCTAGAAATTTTATTACGAACAAGTTAGTATGTTAAATTTGCCATCTTAAGATACAATTTCTTCCATTAACTCTATTTTAAATAACAATTTGCCAGAAGATTTTATTAAAAAAAAATTAGTAGGGAATACGTTCCCATTTTTTCAATTATAAGCTTACATCTCTCCTTTATTGAATTAACTAAATAATGTCTTGTGGAAGTTTTGATCATTCTTCCATAAAATTTTCAAATCCCAATATTTTGTGACTGTTGCATCTCAACGTTTCTTTTAACAATTGCCATAAATTTTCTATAGGGTTCAAGTCGAGACTGTTAAATAGCCAGTTTATAACAGTTGAAATTTTTCTTTGCAGAAAATTCTTAGCTACCTTGCTTGTATGTTTAGGATCGTTATTTTGCTGGACTTGATTTCTTCCAGAACGGTAAGATCAGGCTTCTTTGGAATAGTCACTTGAAGTTAATGTAAATGGTCGTTACGTTAAAACTATACTAAAACTGAGTTTCAGCTAGCAACCTTAGCATCGCGGCTGACTTCACGTGAGGTAAGTGGTATATTTATTTATTAAAAGTTTCTAACAAAACCAATTCCTTTTGACTTTTTTGTAGAGCATCTTTTTAGGACAAGATCAGAGCAATATGATTGGCTGAAAGGTATAAATCAGTGATTTATAAATGCGTCTACCAACAAAAATATATCTTAACCTATTAATTTCATACCAAAAAAAAATTTTTTTTTTTGCTCCTATTACTAAAAGTAAGTATCTTTTATCGTCAGCTGGTTTAACCTTCATACTATTCCTCTTTTTCCTTTATCAATTTGTACTTTTTGGAATTCCTACATTATGTCAACCTTTATTATAATTTTCTCTCAGACTCTCGTGTTTTTATTCTCTTATGACAAATTATTTAATACAAGCCCTATTACATTAATGATTTTCTTATCAAAACTTTTTCGTATATTTTAATGAAACAGAAACATGGTCGCAAGAAAATTCAGATAAAACTTAACAAAGATAAATGAACTGACAAGTATGTTCTCATTATTTTTCTTTTTGTATTGATAATTATTTATCATTTGAGCTGTTGTTAAATTTAGTGCTCCGTACAGATCAGGTCAGTTTAAGGCTTATTCGAACTTGAACCCATTAATAATTACAGAACCTGAATTTGACTTGACCTGATTATCGTTTAACTTGGATTCGACTCAAATTTTCAAGGTAATATTAATGCCGAAAATCATATAAAGTTTATTTTATTTTTAAAATTATTATTTTTTTTTGTGAGCATTAATTCAAATTCCTTTTTTTCATCAGAATTTTAAGTACATACAGGCAAATTGTATTAGCTTTAAGATCACATCTTTTGGTTGGTTCCATCAGAAAAACTCGTTCTACTGAAACAATTGTTGATTTATAAAAAAATGCATAAGTTAATGTTTAATAATTTTTTTATTTTAACTGTTATTATTCACTTCACAATGCTTTTCGTTTTCTAGAAAAGTTGTACTGTAACTTCAGTAGGTTTTACTTTTTTATTATTTATTTATTACAAATTAAAGTCACAAATCATAAAACAAAAAAAGTCTAACGCATTTGATCACACAGGTCGACCCAGATTAAACAACAACATGACCCTAATCTAGTGGGTTTTTTTTGAATTAGAACACTCATGTCATAAAAATGATAGTCCTGACTCAAAAAAAAATTCAAGTCAGGTCAAACGACCTAGATCGACTCAATCATTTCGAAGCACTAGTTTATAATATAAATGCTGATCAAAAACCATCAAATTTAAGAAGAGGTGACAAGAACAATACTGTCTTATATCAGAATGATAACGCTACAATTATACAATTGAACTCACAGAATTTGATTCAACACATTATATGAAAGATATAACGAAATTAGCACGTGATAGAGTGGATAATTTAAATTATCACTTCTTACAATATTGCAAATGCTCTATAATATTAACGAAAAAAATTCAAATCTGTTAGCATTCATTGTTATAGTAGGCATTTTTCTTTTTTGCATGAGTAATTAAGGTTTTTTACAGTAAAACTTAATCTAACTTCTATGTTTTTAGAATATTTTATATCAATTTACCTCTCAGACCTCATTTGTATAAAAACGTAACAGTCAACCCTCTCTAAATGCATACATTATATATTTTTTTTAAATGCATACCCTCTTTAAATGCACATTTTTTAAAATTTTCACTATGATCCCGACAGGATGCTTTTAGAGAGGGAGGGTTGACTGTAGAATATATGAAATCTTTAAATATAAAAATCTAACGTCATATACAGATTGATAGCTTCTAGCTGAACTCGTAATGATAGAAGTTTATTTAGAGGTATTTCTATACTAGTCATACAAATGCGTCTTATTTACTATTACTTATTGTAGATTTATCTATCTTTTGCTTACATTACAGTATGACAGTTTGTAAAAGGGAAAATAAGTATGGAAGACACAATCAATAATGATGGTTCTTATAGTGTAAATGATTGGATGGTAATTTCAGATAACTCTTCAGAAAACAAAAAAAAAAACAAAATGAAATCAGATGTATTATATTTCACAAAAAATAAACTTTTTTCCTTATAAATATGTTTTTACTGTATTTTTTTACTATACTATATTTTATGTTAGCTGACTGAATCCAATATAAATAATAATAGTTTTCATTAAATTTTAATTATACAAATGAAAACATGAGAATTTTCTCTTTAGCGATCAGATATTTATTTTTATTGTGTCAATTAATAAATAATTCAAGTGAAAAGGCCATATAAAATAAAATATTCTACCAATTATTAGATGTGTATCAGAAAATAAATGTATATGCGATCATAATACAATAATTCTTTTAGTACAAAATTTTTTCACAGTAAATAAGATGCGAGTGGCAGATAGGATGTGTTCAAATAAACAGCCAAAAAATTATTATTTGATTAATATTAGTATTAGTGATTACAAGCTTACGGCTTAAAAGTTTGCAATGACTTAGAGTATCGCTCTCTTCTCTTGCATCCAAATTTCTCAGTTTTGTTTATATTCTCCGTCTTAATTAAAGAAAGTAAAATTCAATAATATAAACATGAAAAAAAATGTATCCGATTATGTATATCAAACTTTTTCTACATTTCTGTAAGTTTTTTTTATTTCTCTATTTTTAGGATTACACTCAAATGCTGAATTAAGAGTATTACGATACTTCTTATCTGCACGGTTATGATGAGTTAGTTTTACAAGTGGTGTAGAATTATCACAATTAATTATCCATTTTATGTTTCTTTTTTTCTTGCTCTCAAATTTCGGCATTTTCAGCATTTCTCAAACTCAAAATATAGGTTAGTATTTTGTTGAACAAAACTTATCAATTAGTCATCAAAGTGAGATGTCTTTCACTCAAGACTGGCCATCTATTGTTGATGACTTGCCACTATTGGATTAGCTTCTGACAGATCTAGTGCCCGCTAGCGCTTTTCGTGCTCAACAAAGATATCGAAAAACTATAGAAATAAAAAAAATCATAGATTCACCTGAATAAGTAATTTATGTTAATTATCATAAGAAATATCATACGTTTTATTTAGATTAATTAACCGTATCATAGATCAGTTAAATCAGATAATGATATTGATCAGATGAACAAATTTTGATCAGCATTTCTTTATGATATGAAATTTGTTATAGTTACATAAAGATGACGGAGTTATACTTTTGGTGGAATTAACAATTAAGTTTTTCTGAAAAAAAATTTTTTGAAATTTTATTAATAATTTCAGATATACTAGTAGCAAATATAATTAATGTCAGTTAATATTTCTCAAAACTCCTTATGACAAAGCAATTAGAGCTTTAAATTACTAACATTTAATTCTAATAGTGTAATATATGATATTATCGAAGAGAGTAAGTCAGACTTTTTACAAATTTCTATACTAATTATTTTTTTCTATCATTATTGCTAACTACAAGATTCAATTTTCTATAAATATGAAATAAACTATGTTTACAAGATCCCTGCTAATATAAATTACTCCTACCTACATACATTATATAGAAATTTTCGATCTTAGTTAATTTTTGCAAGAGAAGTTTCTTGAGATTGAATAATTTTGAATCTACAGTATAAATCAAGAGATTAACAACTGATGTAAAAAGTAATATAATAATACTGATTCACACTTACCGTTACATTTCATTTTCAGAATATTCAATCTGCCTTAATTTTTAAGAAATTTGATGCATAATTTTTTTTATCACCAGTATAGACTTCTTCTGCGTCAATGAAATTTCACAGGATATAGTTTATCACTGATGTCACATTCCTTAACATTTCATTTTTACTAAGTATTTATGAGGACTTGGAATTTTTCAGTAATTAAAAATCTATTTGTCACCACTACTATACGTTAGGGTAATCAGTCAACTAAGTAAATCAAAATTATATGCGATATCATATAAAAACTTATTATTAATTTTTTTTTGTGTGACAAAGATATTAATCAGATTTTATTTAAAATATTTGACATGGTAAGTTAATGTAATAATTTATTAAAAGATTATTATGATATTAATTCATTAAAAAGCTCTAAAACAATTTCAATCCTAAATTCTTGTAATTGAATTTCTTAGAGTGGCATTTTTTTAGTTGCTTTCTCTTTGCTCTTATTTCCTTTATTTTATCTAAAAGATTTTCTTAAGCAAATTTGCTTT